GTTTCTGTTTGATATTTATGACGCAACCAAACAATGAAACGGGCTGGGGTATCAATATTATTACCAGCATGTTGAGCAGGTATATTTGTATATTTTTCAGCCATCTTACTTTTTAAAATATCTGCTTGAAGCAGATTATCAAAGGCGGCTGACATAATCGATGGTAAAGTTAATATTTAATTAATTCTTTAATACTATTCATTTGGTGGAATTTGTCCACTATAATTTGGAATCTTTACAATTAATGGTACAATACTGGTTAAGTCTTCTGCAACTGTAGCTATATTTGGTGGATTATTATATAACAATAAAATTTGTGCTTGTAAATTATTTATTAATTGTTCAAAATTTCGAGCACGATTTTTCCACTTACTCCACTTATTGTTCAGTTGAATATCGGCAAGTAATAAATCATTTTCTAGAGTCTTGCATTTATTTTTCCATTTGCTATATTGATTTTTTGTAAGATTTAAGAGGTGCGTAGTAATTGCTTTATCTGTCTTATATTCTTGTAGTTGCTGTTGTGTTCATCTATTCTTAAATCCCAATGCAAATTTTTTTAGAAGCAATTTTGATATTTGTCTTTTTTGAATATGGATTGTAATTCGACCATCAAGTTCTTGAGATTTAAATATATTTTTGTGTTGTGTTCTGTGAGCTTTATAGGCCTGATAAAGAAGATCATAGTCATTTTGAAGTATAGCTAACTAGATTTGTGAATTAGTTAACTGGGTCTGCAAATCTACTACTTGATTTTCTGCATTAATTGCACGAGTATTCGCCCATGGATATATATCTAGTACCAATCTTTCAAACCTATTGCCAGCATCAGAAATTATATTAAGATAATCTACAATACCATTTATTGTGGGGGCTATTGTAACTGGGCTTTGAAAATACTGTCTAATATTATTAATCTTTCGCTGAATCCTATTATTTTGAATCGTGGCTTGATTTTCAGATAGAGATAATCTGAGTGATCCTGGTGGTTGTGCCATCTCTATAGTATCATTGGAATTTTTATACAAAATAAGTATTTTTTCATTAAGTTTGTTGATTTTATCCTAAAAAATTACTAAGCTTTGTTCTAAATAATCAACATAATTCTCTTGGCTTTTAGAATTTTGAAGTGCCTTTTCTAACCGTTCTTTGAGATTAGAAATTTCTTGTTGCAATGGATCCAAATCCTCATCTCGAATCAAAATTTCTTTTTTGAGATATTTAATATAATCTTCTTTTAAAGCTAGATCCTGTTGTAATTTACAAAATCGATTTTTTATTATCTGCAAACTATCTTCAGCTTGAGCTAGTCTATTTGTGCTAATTTCTGGTGTCATTGTAGTATTTTATAACATAATAAACAAGAATCGAAAAATTAGTCTTTTGTATATGAGTGAACCTACTATTATTATAGACCCTAATGAGGAATTGCAAATTGTTCTTCGTATAATCTACTATAATGTGCCTGGCTTTTATTCCAATCCTAGAAAAATACGAAAAATATGTATAAAAGAAGGATATACTCATTTTCGACTTAAAGATATCACAAACTGGTTAGAGAATCAGTATGATTACCAAATATATCAACACCCACCAAAGATTAAGGCCCGGGCTAGCTTTTCTAAATGCTGAATTCCTAATAAATTACATCAATATGACCTACTCCCCCATGTCCACGATGATCAGAAAAGAGAAAAAATATATTTACACACTTTGGTGCTGATAGACATGGCAACTAAATATAAATGTGCAGTAGCATTAACATCAAAGACTAGCTCAGAGATTTGGAACACAATTGAAAAAATATACAATAATCCCAAAAATCCTCTCAAGTGGCTGGCATTGTTGATAGTTGATGGTGCTGGTGAGTTTAAAGGATCATTTGCGAAAGGAATGGAGCAATATAATGTTCCTATAAAAGTTGTCGATCTTTATAGCTTTAGAGCTTAGCATTAGTTAAAAAATTCAAACAAGATTTGGCGAGACTTATATACAAAATTCAATATGCCATAGAGAGAAAACTCAAAGAAGGTAAACGCTCGAAATTATGGAACAAGATACTTCAGAAAATTATCGACTATATGAATAATAATAAAACTCGATTAATAGGCATGTCACCATCATATGCAATGTCATTAGGAGAAGTAATACCTAAAGTATCTAACAAACCTAAAAGACCTATTGGAAAGAATGAACCACGATTACAGAAGGGGCTCACAGTAAGATATCTATTAAAACCCGGTGAGCTAGAAGGAGAGCATATGCATAGAAAAACTGACCTGTGGTGGTCATTGCGTATCTATAAAATCAAAAAAGTTATTGTTGGTAAAAATCCACCACAGCCAGTCTTATACTATTTTGAAGATGAGCTAATTGATTCAACTAAATATTTAATAGGTCGTAACCCTAAAAGACCTTTTAAGAGAGAGGAGCTCCAAAAAATCGAGAATCCTAAAAAGGTTGAGTACTCACCTGATAAGTTTATACAAAAATATCACCTCTTTGGATCGATACATTTCATTTGTGTTTCTAATAATGAATTTGACAGGGCGCAACAATATGTTAGAAGATGTGGTGGAAGTATCTTAGCTAAAACTGGGCAAATAAATAATCAGAATGTATTCCTCTGGACTTGTGAAAATGGACTG